GAAGCCAGCCTGGAAAACCTGAGATTTTTCTCACCACCACCACCACAACAACAACAAACAAAGAAAAAACAGCCTGGACAAACGAGCTCTGATAGTACCTTGGAAGTAGGGGCTTCTGAATAACAGCATGTCTTGTCTTACTTCTGACAAGAACCCTCAGAGCCCTCCTCTGAAAAACAAAAGACCTGGGTCAGGAGGACAGCTCAGTTGGTGAAGGTTCTTGATGGTGGGTGTGCAGGACAGACACACGCTAAAGAGGAGGGAGCCTCGATCAAGAACGTTTGTTGTCAGTTTGGGTTGTATCTAGCCTGTAGAGAGTTTTCTTAATTAGTGATTGATGCAGGAGAGCCCAGCCATGGTGGGTGGTGCCATAGTTGGGCCAATGGTCCCGAGAAAGCAGGCTGAGCAAGTCATGGGGAGCCAGCCAATAAGCAGCACCCTCCATGGCCTCTTCATGAGCTCCTGCCTCCAGGCTCCTGTCTTGCATGAGTTCCTGCTCTCACCGCCTTTGATGAAGAGCTGTAACTTGGAACTGTGAGCAAAATAAACCCTTTCCTCCGAGGTCTGCTTTGGTCATGGTGCTTCATTACAGCAACGGTTACCCTAGCTAGTAGGAGAGATATCCTGTCAGTGAAATCGCGTGCTGTGTAGCCTGATGACCTGGGTTGGATCACTCCTGACCCCAGAGAGTCAGGGATGACTCTGATTGTCCTCTGATTTCCACAGGGATACACACGTACTAAATAAATAAATGTTTTAAAACCAAAACTTTTCACTATGGGATTTCTCTCCATCCTCAAAATGTATTGAAAATAATACAAGATAGTATAAGTCATTGTTCCCATTGTCGTGAATGAACACCAGATGAAAAGGAGCTTTAGGAAGGAGCTGTTGATTTCGACTGAGTCCACCACGGCAGGGAAGGAGCTTGAGGCAGCTGGCTGCATTCGCACTCAGGAAGCTGAGAGATGTGGCCAGCAGGGGGTCAGCTGCCTTTCTCCTGTTTATTCTATCCGGGACTCCGACCCATGGAATGGTCCGCCTATGCTCAAAGTGCATCTGCTGTCCTTGTTTGCTTTCTGTTGCTGTGATGAGTGCTGTGACCACAAGCAACTAGGGAGGGGAAAGGTTTGTTTGGCTTACACATCCTCATTACAGTCCATCACTGAGGAAAGGGCAGAAGCAGGAACTAGGGAAGAATGCAGGTTACTGGCTTGCTCTCGACAGCTTGCTCAGCCCACTTTAAAAAAAAAAAAGACTTAAGTATTCTGTGAGTGCCTTGGCTGCATGTACACCTATGCCTGTGTGCTGGGAGAGGGCATCAGAGCCCTGAATAGATGGTTGTGAGCCACCCTGTGGTTGCTGGGAGATGAACTCAGGACCTCTGGAAGAGCAGACAGTGCTCGTAACCACTGAGCCATCTCTCCATCAGCCCACTTTCTTCCACAACCCAGGACCACCTGCCCTGCAGTGGCACCTCCCCCAGAGGTCTGAGCCTTCCTTTATCAATCATTGATCAAGAAAATGCCCGACAGATTTACTCAACAACCAGTCTAATGGAAGCTCTCTCAGTCAAGGTTCCACCTTCTCAGAGGGCTCTAACTTCAGGCTGTAGAGACCTGACCACAGTCTTCCCTCCTAAATTAATATAATTTAAACAATCCCTCACAGGCATGCTTGGAGGCCCGAGTTCTAGGTGAATCCTGCCAAGGTCACAAAAGTGAACTTAACGTTTTCTTTTTGAGATTTTTGTCTATTTCTTTCTCTTTTTAATGTGTGTGTGTGTGTGTGTGTGTTATGAACCCAGAGGTGCACACCTGTGCACAAGAAGCCAGAGGAGGACATGGGTGTCTCTGCCACATTCCATTTAAAACAGGCTCTCTCACTGGCTGGCAGAACTGGAAGGCAGACGCCAGTCAACCTCCCATCGTGCTGGCGTTCCAGGTTTGTGTGGCCACATCTAGCTTTTTCTGGGAGCACTGGGGACTTGAACTCAAGTCTTCATACCTGGATAGGAAGTGCTCTTATCCACTGAGCCATCTCCACAGCCCTCTGGCTTCATTTTGGTTTGTTTGTTTTCCAGACAGGGTTTCTCTTTGTAGCCTTGGCTGTCCTGGAACTCCCTCTGTAGACCAGGCTGGCCTTGAACTCAGAGATCAGCCTGCCTCTGCCTACTGAGTGCTGAGATTACAGGCATAAGCCACTGCACCTGGCCATTTTTTTTTAAGAGAATATAAACTTCAGGACTTTAGGTTGCTATGTTCTGTACAGTTAGCGATAGCCAGCTCTTGTATCGTCACCACCCGTGCTACAGGCACAACAGACAGCACCAATTGATCAGCGTGGCAGACAGCACCAATAGATGGGAACATTCTCTCCTACTGAGCAAATAAATGTTCAGAATCCATCCAAGCCGCCACTAGGAATCAATTAGTCTCAACAAAGAAGCTGAACTGTATTTGCCATTGTAAATCTCAAGCCTGACCTTCAGAAATTCCTGGAATCATGGGAAGTGAGTCAGAACGTATTTCCCTCCGGGAGTCTGACCTTGCTGAATCTGAGTTCTTTCCTAAGAACCTCCCCAAACCACCCTCCCTGTTCCAGAGGGATTTGGAATCATTCTAAACCATGCCCCTCATTTTTTTTTTTTTTTCCTTTTTAGATAGAAAAAAAAAAAAAAAAGCCAAAGCCTAAGAAATTAAAAAGACCCACTCAAGGTCACAGCATGAGTTTGCATAAAATCTGCAGTGGCAAAATGTAGCAGCTGGGGGTGGTAGGATGGCTCAGTGGGTAAGGAAGCTTGCCACCAGGGCTGACAGCCTGAGTCCAGTCACTGGCACTCACATGGTGGAAGGAGAGGACAGATTCCTGAAAGCTGTCCCTGACCTCCACATGTGCACCATGGCATGCATGCCTCCATATTATTATTAATTATGATTAAGTAATCAAATTATTTCTTTTTCTGTAACAGCTAATGACTGTGACTCAAGGAAAGCCTGAGGATGGGACTAGCTGACATGTTAATAGCCGGGTGAACTCAGCTCTGTGTGGCTCAGTTTCATCACCTGTAACATCGGGCTCATTGGGGTGCTGAGTTCACCGGACAGTGAGAAAAACAAAATGAATGAATAAATAAAGACTCTTGCCCCTGGATGGCTGTAGTCAGCCCAGGTGTCATAGTGGCAGGGCCATTATCATTGCCCCCTTGGGAGGTTGAGCAGATGCATCGTGCAAGATTAAGGTTATTAGGGTTAGAGCACCTGTTCAGAGTCCCCCAGTCAGGGGCTGGGGATGTGGCTCAGCTGTAGAGTTCTAGCTTTCCATACAGAAGGCCCTGGTTCCCAGGATTCAATCTGAGAGAGAGAGAGAGAGAGAGAGCACAGAGACACACAGAGAGACACAGGCAGAGACAGAAAGACAGAGAGACCTGAGCTATAAATTTGTCAGATATCTTGGCTATTCTCGGTCTCTCGTTATAGTGGAATCAGAGCCTTAGAATCCAATTGAGAACTTCCCTCCCTCACCTGCACAAACAGTGGTAATTCCTACACACCGACTACTGTGATGGTCTAACGGGATCATGTTCAGGCATCTGCCTCATGGTGGCTGTGCAATATAAGTGGTGGTTGTTTCTCAACATAGCGAAAGGGCCCAGAGTACAGGAAGCCCCCCGGGGAAGGAAGCTCTGGTTTGGGAGCTAGACTGACTTGGTACCAGTCAAAGGCTGTCAGTTTGTGTGCATGCTCTCATAGGAGTCATTCTCGAAGAGTCTGGTAAATCCAACAAGAGGCCTGGCAAGAAAGTCAGAGCAGTGTGGGCTATGTAGTAGGCAGAAAGGAGAGTATCAAGAGATCTGTTTTGTTGTTGTTTTGTTTTTTTTGTGTTGACCTTAACCCTGTCATTTATTGTCCTCATATAGGGACTGGATTATAAGGTGATGCTCAAGTTAAATAACCTAAATAGCTTAACTTCTCTCTCTCTCTCTCTCTCTCTCTCTCACACACACACACACACACACACACACACACACACACACACACACACGGGAGCCCTTAAACTCCTGCAGCCAATGATGACCTTGAGCTCCTGTTCCTCCGGCCTCCTCCTGAGTGCCACCATGCCTCCAACATGCTAGGCAACCACTCGATGAGATGGGCTACCTCCCTTAGCTTTGTTCTGGCTTTTTGAGACAGGGTCTCTGTGTAGCCCTGGCTTTCCTGTAACTGGATCTGTAGGTCAGGCTGGCCTGGAACTCACAGAGACCTGCCTGCCTCTGTGTATACCATCACTGCCTGGCTTTTTAATTTTATTATTTTGGGGAGGAAGGAAAGGGGGTATCAGGCATCCTATGCCACTGTGTGAGTGTGTGTATGTGGTCAGATGGCAACTTGCAGGAGTGAGAGCTCTCCTCCCCTGTGGCATCAAGCTCAGGCAGTCAGCTGAGCCATCTTGGTGGCCTTTGTTTTGCTTTTTGAGAAAGCCTTGATATGTAAAGTTTGCCTAGACCTCGCAGCAATCCCCCTGCCTCTGTCTCCCAAGTCTGGAATTACAAAGTTGGTCATGCCCTGCTCTATTTTTGAAGACAAGGTATCACATGTAGTGCTGGCTGTCCTAGAACTCAGAGATCTGTCTGCCTCTGCTAGGACTGAAAGTGTCCACCATCACGCCGGGCAAGAACTACAGAACTACAGTGCTCTATCCTTAGAGAAAACTAATACCATAAGCCCCTTGTTTCCAATCCCCTCCCTTTGCTAGGCAGAGACGTGTTTGAAATAAAGTTTATTGAAGTTTCTGTCGATATTTACATATGATACACGGTAAATAACAGAGCCAGGCCTCCCACCCCACCATTTCCCCACCCTTATTGCTTCCCTCCCCACCCCACCCCCAGACTCATTAAAAATCGCTGCGTAAAGACAGGTTATAACTGCTGCGGTTCTCCCTCCCCCCTCCCCCCTAAGATGCAAACTAAAAGCCCCCCCCAGTCCCTCCCCTGCCCCCTCCCCCCACCCCGGGGCCGTTCTGGTTCCGTGTGTTAACACTGTGCTACCTCGCCCCTCCTCCCCTAATAAAGGGAGTGGGATGGGCGGTTCTCTGGTGACCTTCCCCCACCCCCGAATCTGTCCAAGGGGGCGGTGTGCCCTTGAAAGAGGCCAGAGTTGGGGATCTGAGATGGGAAGAGGGACATGGATGAGAGGGAATACCAGAAAATGGAAGACAGAGGTTTTGGGGGGTGTTAACCCCTGCTACTGCCCCTCCCTCCCCCGACGGGACCTCGAGGGGGGAGAGGCGGGCACAGGTGTGGAGCTAGTGTGAGGGAACCTCCCTCCACCCTGGGGTCCCATCCTTGTTTGGTGTGAGAGGCTGGATGCACCTAGGGGCTTCGGATGAGCAAGTGGAGGGAGGAAAAGAGAGACGTGGAAAGACGAGGTGGAGGAGGAGGACGACCGAAAGAAGAGGAGAAGGAGGAAAAGGAAAAAGATTAGAAGAAGGAAGGTAACCTTCCAGAGGAGAAAAGAAAAAGAGGGAATGGAGTCTCCCGGAGGCAACAGAAAAGGAAAAGTCAAGGTCAGTCATAGTCGTACCCCTGCGGCCCCTGACCGGAGCAGTAGAAGTGGGTCAGGGACCTGCAGGGGGCGTAGTGTGGCGTTGGGAGAGAATGGAGGGGAGTTCCAGTGGCGGCCACACCCACTCTCCATCCCAACACCCCTGCGGGGAAGCGAGAATCCAATCCGGCGGGGTTGGGGGAGCTGGGCGCGAGATACCACCAGAAGATAGCAAACCTGGTGGGTAGGGACCTAAGGGAAGGGGGGCGGGTTCACGGGGGACGGGTGGGGAGGGAATCATTTGGAAGTATAATGAACCAATGAGGAGATGTTGGAAAGAGGGTGGAGCCATTGAAATGTAGGTGATAGAGGCTTGGAGATGGCACAGCATCCCTCAGCCAAGAGTCCCTTAAGGGATTGGGGCTGCAAGGGAGAGGCGCGGGGGAGGGGAGGGAGAAGGGGAGAGAGTGGGAGTCCGGCCTCAGCACGGTGAAGTAGAAATGTGGAGGTGGTCGGGGTACTTGATGGCCGGAGGGTAATTTTGCGTCATCTGGATGGAGACGTCGCTAGAGATGTCGGAAGGGCTGCGGCCTCGACGCCACGCCTCGGGCTGCAGGAACTGGCCTGAGTAGTCGGAGCAGTCGCTGAGACGCGGGCGGTAGAAGGCCGGGTGCGGGCGATACATCTCCTCCTCCGCGTAGCGCTTGGTGAATAAGTACACGGACATGACTCCGGCCCCCTGTGGCAAGGAACCGTCAGAATCCCTGAAGCAGCCCCCCCCCCCCCCGCCCAGGAGTCACAGCTGCACATCACTGCCAAGACCTCAGCAAAACCCAAGAAGCCCCAGCCCTCATTTCCTCTAGGACCCCCCAAAATGGAAAATCCAAACCACTTCCTCTCCAGGACGCAGAGGTTAGACCCAAGTCTAACCCACCTCCCTCAAATACAGACACATCCCCAGCCTCCCCTTCCTCCTGGACCCAGGAATCAGACTGCCAAACACTCTGGCTTCAAAGTAGAGAGATGGGTACCCCAGGGCTATTCTTTCCCAGGAAGAAGGGGTCCCCCAGCCACCTCCAAAACCTCAAGGGTCCAACCCGCAGGCTTCACCTCAGTTTATTTCCAGGAAACTGAGGACCCCCAGGAGCTAGGACTCCTAGACTCTTCTCTACCGGATTTACCCCCCGTGCCGCCACCTCTCCTCCCGGGCACAGTAATCAGATGGTCCTCTGCTCAGGTCCTCCTTTCCCAGAACCCAGGACTCCCATCTCTAAGACCTCAGACGGTCCAAACCTCAGGGTTTTTTCTCTCCATAAACCCAGAAGTCCCCATCTTCAGACCCCCACCTAACTCCAGACTCCCAGGAGCTCGAATACCGCGATACACCCTCCCTCCCGCTTCTTGAAATTGGTTGTCTGGACCCGACACATCACCTCTTTGAGAAGGAAAGAGGAAGCAGCGAAGGCAAACGACCACCCGTAGCGATAGTGAAAGTACTGCTCAGAGCTGCTGGGCCTGTTCATGACCTCGTCATTGATGCTGGAGATGTACAGAACCAAGCCCACCACCAAGGAGAGGCCTGAGAGAAGAAGGGTGCCAGGAGATTGAGAGGGGTGCCCTCCCAATCCCACTCACTGCTTTCCCTTCCCCTCTGCCCCATACCTAGGACAAACCTTACCCTACTCTCCCCAACATGCTATGCAAGTGCTCTAAGTCAGAGCAATGGCCCCAGCGCCCCCTCACTGGGGTATCCTAGGCAGCTGCTTTATTACTGAGCCACACCCCCAGGCTCTCAGAGGAGGATTCTAGGCAAGCACTAGACTGCTGAGTCACTAACCCAGCAGCCCCCTTACGGGTGGAATCTAGGCAAGAATTCTGTCACTGAACCTCGATGGAGAATCCTAGGAAGGTATTCTACCGCTGAGCCATGTCCCCAGGCTCTCACTGGTGGGTTCTATGAAAGAATTCTGCTGAGCCATGCCTGCACACTGGTGGAGTCTAGGTAAGAGTTCTATCACTGGGCGAATCCTAGACAGTACCCCACAGCTGATTCTCAGACCCTAGTGTATACTCCAGGCAGGAGCTCTACCACTGAGCCGTATACCCAGCCCTCTTTTTACTTTTTATTTTGACACAGGGTCTCAGTACCTTGTCCAGACAGGCCTAGAAATTTTTTAAAAATATTTTTAAAGATTTATTTACTATTTGTGCAATAACCTGTCTACATGTGTGCCTGCAGGCCAGAAGAGGGCACCAGATCTAATGATAGATGGTGTTGAGCCACCATGTGGTGGCTGGGAATTGAACTCAGAACCTTCGGAAGAGCAGCCAGTGCTCTTAACCTCTGAGAGCTCAGAGGTGCTATCACTCCAGCACCAAGCCTTGAACTTTTGATTCTCCTGTCTTGGCTTCCCAAGTGTCTGTGTCTCCAGGTTGGGCTTCACTTCTGGGTTTTGAAGGACCTCTTGTTCCAGGCCTTGACTGTACAGAGAACCCAGAGATGAATCTACCAGCTGCCCTCACCCCACCCCACCCCACCCCACCCCACCCCACCCCACCCCACCCCTGCCATCTGAGATCTCAGGGCAGCTGAAAGAGGTAAAGGACAGGATAGAGGCAAGCTATTTTATGCATGGTGACATGTGCTACATGGAAAGCTCATCTCAAGGAACACCATAGTGTCCAGAGGAGGCACCAAGCCACCTGGGACAAGAAGAACAAGGGGATAAAGAAATATATCTTTGTCCAAGAGGGTGAAATCCAGAGAAGGCTAAGAATGAAAATAAGGTGGAGAGCAAGAACCATGTGTCCCCGTCTGGCCTGTCTGTGCTTTATATACACATACATAAAGAGTAAATGTTCTTAAAAGAGCTGGGAGAAGGCTCAATGGTTGAGAGCACTGGCTGCTCTTCCAGAGGACCTGTGTTCAGTTCTCTGCACCACAATGGCAGCTCAAAACTATAACTCCAGTTGTAGGAATATGGTAAAATTAGCCAGAAAAGAAAACTCATGGTTTTATGCATTACACCTCAAATGTTTAAAGTCTATGAATTTCATGCCTTTGAGATGGCTCAATTGATAAAAGTGCTGAAGACCTAAGTTTGATCCCCAAGATATTCATGGTAGAAAGAGAGAACTGGTTCCCAAATGTTGCCCTTTGAGGTGTGTGCCAGGCATGATGGCACACACCTTTAATCCCAGCACCCAGGGGGCAGAGGCAAGTGGATCCCTGTGTCTACAAAGCAAGTCCAGGACAAAGAAACCCTGTTTCAGAAAGAAAAAAAAAAAAAGTTGTCCTTTGACCTCTAAATGAATCTTTGACCTGTAAGTGAGCAATATGGCTCTTGCACATATTCCTCAATAAATAAGTGAATGTAAAAAAATTAATGCACTCTTTAGAGACTGGAGAGGTGACTCAGCCGTTAAGAGGGCTTGTTGCAGAGGCCTACAGTGGCTCACAACTAAGTGTAACTCTAGTTCCAAGGTAGTTAATGCTTCTCTGCCCTCCATGGCCACTGCACACACACGCAGGAAACAAACAAAAATTACAAGTGAATTCATCATTTAACCCAGTCCTGACAGCATCTCTCCAAGGGTATGAGTGCTACACATGCACAAGCAAATCCTTTTCTTCCTTTCTTTTCTTCCTGACTATATATATATATATATATGTGTGTATATATATATATGTATATATATGTATATATATATATACATATTATTGAAAAATATGGGAAAGTATTAAGACGGGCAGAGGTGGTGCATGCCTTTAATCCTATCACTCAGAAGGCAATAGAGGCAAGTGGATTTCTGAGACTGAGGCCCGCCAGGTCTACAGAGCAAGTTCAATGACAGCCAGGACTACACAGAAAAACCCCGTCTCAAAAAAAAAAAAAAAAAAAAAAAAAAAGAAGAAGGAGGAGGAGGAGGAGGAGGAGGGAAAGCGTTGGTTGTAGTTCATGGTAGCGCACTTGCCTAGCACGCTTGACACCCTGAATCCCATCCCCAACACTACGTATAACCATGTGTAGTGGTGCACACCTCTAATCCCTGCTCTGGGAAAGTAGAGTCAGAAGGACCAGAGGTTCAAGGTTGGCCCAGATTATATGAGACTTTGTCTCCAAAATCCATCAATCATTCAATAAATAAAATGTAAAATGAAAGAAAACCAAAAATGTTCATAAGAATATATAGACAGCACTTTTCTGTTTGTTTGTTGTTCTGAGACAGAGTCTCTCTATGTAGTCCTGGATGCCCTGAAAGTCACTGTGTAGACCCGGCTGGCCTCCAACCATAGAGATCCACCTGCCTCTGCCTCTCAAGTGCTGGGATTAAAGGTGCTTATGACCATACCTGACTTAGAATGTACATCATGAAAGAAGGATCATTTTGGAAAAGGCGTTTATTATTGTATGCTGGTGGACGGTGTGTGTGGAGGAGGGTGCTCTACATAACCCAGCAAAGATGGAGCTTAAAGAACAGCTTTGTGGAGCCCATTTATTCCTTCTACCTTTATGTGGTTTCTGGGGATCAAACTCAGATCGACTTAAGGATAGAGTAGGAGGCTGGAGAGATAGCATAATGTCTAAGAGCACTGGCTGCTCTTCCAGGGGACCCGTGTTCAATTCTCTGCTCCAGAATGGTAGCTCATGTCTATAACTCTGATCCTAGGGATCTGACGCCTTCTTCTGTCTTCTGTGGGCACCAGGCCCACACATGATGCACAGACATAAATATAGTCAAAACACCCATCCACATAAAATAAAATAAAAATAATTTAAAAAAAAAATACATAGCCAATCACAGTGGCACACACCTGTAATCCCAGCACTACGGGAGGCAGAGGTAGGTGGGTCTCTGTGAGTTCGAGGCTAGTCTGGTCTACAAAGTGAGTCCAGGACAGCCAAGAGTAAACAGAGAAACCCTATTTCTAAAAGAAGAATGCAGTAGGAGGGCTCAAGAGACGGCTCTATGGTTAACAGCACTTTTTGCTCTCGCAAAGGACCCACATCTGAAAGTTCATGGCCAGCCTGAGCAACCTAGTGAGAACATGTCAAAATAATGAAAAGAAAGAAAGGAAGGAAGGAAGGAAGGAAGGAAGGAAGGAAGGAAGGAAGGAAGAAAGAAAGAAAGAGGGCTGAGTGTGTGACTCAGTGTTAGAACAATTACCTGGAATCCCCCAGTAAGGGGCAGGGAATGTGGAAGCAGAGGAGCATTTGTCTAGCATGCATGATGTCTTAAATTCTATCCTCAGTGTTGAAATGGAAAAAAAAAAAAAAAGAATGCATGTGCATCTGCTTGTTTTTGCAAAAATCAGCATAAGGAGGAAAACTGACTAACAAGTGAGGCTGATTGCATCAGGGAGTAGGTAGAACAAGCAGACGAGTACAAGTACACAATTTTGCATGATTTTCATCTTTGGAATTATGTTAATATATTATACATTCAAGGAATAAAATCAAAGCCAGGTGTGGTGGCAGAAAGCTTGCTGAAGGGGGAGGGAGAATTCGGAGACCAGCCTAAACGACACAGCAAAACTGCCTCAAAACAAACACAAACAACAACAACAAATAAAAATAAAAGAGTGAAGAACAAGCCCAGTAACTTTTCATTCTCTTGCTTTTCTCCCTCCTCCCTCCCTTCTTTTTTTTTCTTTTTCTTTTTTTTTAAAGGTAGGCTCTCTCTTGCTATGCCCCACAGACTGAATTCAAACAGTTGATTCCCTGTTGCCCTGTCTCAAACAAACAAAACAAAAAATGTTTAAAAGACAAACAAAAAAGTGTTCGAGGGGCTGGAGAGATGGCTCAGCAGTAAGAGCACTGTCTGCTCTTCCAGAGGACCTGGGTTCACATCAGGAGGCTCACGACCATCTGTAACTCCAGTTCCAGGGGACCCAACACCCTCTTCTGACCTCCATTCACTGCACACTATACATGCATCTGACAAATACTGGTGCACATAACATTAAATACATCTTTTCTTAAAAAGAACATGTTTAAAAATGATGAGAACAGGTCAAAAAGGGACACAGGAGCTAGCTTAAAGAGTTTCCTGAGTCAAACTGAAGATAATTTGAATAAAATGAGTCATTAAAATGAAGGCATACAACTCACTGATACAGTATATGTATATGGTATCATATACGATATCAGTGGCCATGTATGTGTGCATTTCAATATTTGAGTTGGGGATGTGGCTCTGCTGGTAGAGGGCCATGAGTTTGTATGTAGAGGGTAAGCGTGTGGCCATGAGTTTGATTCCAAGTTTGTATGTTTGTGTGAGTGTATCTAAATATATACTGATGGCTAATTTGACATACAATCTCCTATGTAAACCGGATTCTACACAGACTTTTTCTCATTTGAAACAGGGTCTCATCTAGCCCAGACTGGGTAGAACTTGCAATGTAGCTAAATATGACCTTAAACTCCCTGATCCTCCTGCCTCTACCTCCTGAGAGCTGGGTTTGCAAGTGTGCACCACCATGCCTGGCTTATGCATTGCTGGGGAGGAAACCAGGCTCATCCATGTTAGAGAAGCACTCTGCAGGGTAAGCCACATCCCTGGCCACAGACATGT